AAAAAAAAAAATGACCAAAAGGGCACTTGGGGACAAGGAGCAAAAGGGGCAGGTGCTCAAGAACTCCCCCCCCCCTCCCTGCACTTGCCTGTGACTAATGATTCATCCCTAACTTTGACCTTAATTTAGTTCTCATCTTAACAGCAGAAAAACATGTAAAGATGTCTGCCTCACTGTAGGCTTTTGATTTGATCAGCTCAATGTTTTCTGCTCAGGGAAGTTTGATTGTGTAAAAAACAACTTAATGCATCTTAGGACCAATAATATTCAAATCTGATCAAATTGTCAAAAGTGAATGAGAAAAGCCGAAGTGTTCATTTCACCACTCAGATATGTCATTAAAATGCAGATGTTGTTGTTTTGTGCCTGGAACCAGAGACTGAACATGACCATAAAGCAAAACCACAGTCCCATTATTAAAGGTGTAAGTTTTTCTGAAGCAAAAAGACAAAAATATTTTTTATTAAGTTGGAGAAAAAGTATGCCATTCAGCTCTTTACACAATCTAAGCACATGCAGCCCCACAGTTTCAATACTTCATGAGGCTTAAAAGAAATGCATAAATGAATGTCATCTGCATAGTGAGGAGCATATTTAAATGTGCTCAGAATGTGTTGAGCAGGGAGCATGTAAACCATAATAAGGGCCCCAAAATAGACCCCTAAGGAACACCGAAATGTAGATTATTTCAGAAATATCTATAATTTATAACTGCAACACAAAATGAATGATCAGAGACATGAAAAAAAGCAGATTTTAATACATCAGCTTAATAACTCAGCCTGTTAAGCATTATTTAATTAACAGAAAGTCACATTGCAATGTTCAAGAATTGTGCATTTGCTACTTTCAATTTGAACAAAATCAGCACGACCAAATATGTACTTTCGAGAATAATTTTGTTTAAAACCAATCAAGTAACGGGGTATTTTCCTTTTATTTTTTATTTTTTTCAAAAAATCCTTCTTTTTTAATTTTAACACAATCAAAATTAAAACTTTAATATCAAAGACAAAGTTATCATTTAATTTCATTGTAATTAAAAGACCTTGATGAGTGTTTTTATAGCATTATTATAGTTAGACACTGGATCTATGAATATCATTGAAAAAAACTTTTACCATAATGCGTTAGTGAAGGTTTTATAGTCTTGGAAGGGGATAAATGTTGCACAGAGAGACACAATCAGACTGACAGCAGCCACGCTGTGTTTAGTTGCTGTGTTGAATCTCACTTGGCAGCTGCTTCAGTCCTCTGTGTGTGTGTGTGTGTGTGTGTGTGTGTGTGTGTGTGTGTGTGTGCGCGTGTGTGTGCGCGTGTGTGTGCGCATGTGCGTTTCTTTATAATACCTTGTGGGGACAATTTTCCTGACATGTACTACGTTGTGGGGACCAATTGCTCCTCGTGGGGACCGGAGCCTGGTCCCCACAAGGGGAAACCCTGTTTTTGGGTCAGGGGTCAGATTTAGGGCTAAGGTATGAATTGAGTTTTGGTTAGGGCTAGGGTTAGGTATGTGATGGTTAGGGTTAGGAAAAGGGTAAAGGTAAGGTTTAGGCTGTAGAAATGAATGGAAGTCAATGGAAAGTCCCCACAAAGATAGCCAGACAAACGTGTGTGTGTGTGTGTGTGTGTGTGTCTATGGATGAGTATAAACATTTACCTTAACTGTCTGTCTGAAATTATAAGGCAATGCTTTGATGTGCTCTCTGGGACACTTCATCTGAAACATAAGAGGAATTATGATCAAGTCATGTGTTTTATACAATACATGGATGAGTCAGGGAGTGTCTGGATGACATTCCTGCTACTGACACATCGACGTCTGTCATCTATCTTAGTTAAGCACATAGGTTTATTAAGCTCCCACTCATTACAAAATCTTACTTTTCAAAGTACGGATTTGTTGTATCAAATTTTTCTAGTAATATTTTAGGAGTGTGAAATCTTGAAATAATTTCCCTTCATTTCATACCAGCCAACATCCATTCTGTCATGTGTAGTAGTACCTGAATATCTGCTGGACTTTGTCAGCCAAAGTTCAAACTATGCCAATTCTCTTTCCAAAACGCAGCTTTTCCTTTGCTAAACTTAGACAAGAATGAAGAATTCCTCTGATAATGCAGATATTTGACCAGTTGCCTGGTAACAAGAAGATCCTAGCCAGGGCCCGTCTCTGCATGCATGTGTGGTTTCTGCCAGGGACTCTAGCTTCCCCATCATTCAGGACTCTGCATTTTAGCTCAAGTAGCCAGTCTAATTTGCTACTAGGTATGGCTATGTGCCTGCAGGTTTGCTGTACTGCGTTTTTAAGTTGCCCTGTGATGAACCCACACTGCCCATTTAGAGTGTTGATTGTGAACCATGCTGTTAATAATCAGTGTTCCTCATGAGAATTAACTCATTCCAGAAAGATACTTTATTCTAGTTTTTTTCTCATTTTCCTAGTTTATAAAGAATTAATAATTTCCCAATTAATAATTGAGTAATAATTAATAAATTGTCAATTATTCATTGTAGCAGACAAGTTGAAATCTGTCTGCTATTTTAATCAGGAGGCTTGTCATTATTTAGTAGAAACTGGCAGATCACGCTTCACTGACAAAACAAGTGATGGAGATTTTGCTCTTTTTCCTGACACCATCCCGGCCCAAAGTCATCAGCATCCACAACAACATTTTGAAGAAAGCTGGATAACATGAGTTCTAACAACATTTAATTTCACTCTAGGATTCATAAAGTATTTTTGAATTGAATTGAAGCGGCTTCTTTTTACAAAGCAGATGACACTAAGAGGAAACTCACCTGCACAGACACTCCTAATAACTTTATGATCAATATCTGATTAACTCCATCAGAAAAGTTTTTCTAAATAAATCCATGATGCTGAACTGTAAAAAATAAATTAGAGAGAATACAATGATGCATCACTTTTAATAGATTCATAGGAGACATTAAAGTAAGCATTTCATTAGACAATGAAATTATTAAACACAGTCTACACAAATGTATTCTGCATACATTTGACTACATAGTATTTAGATAATCTAAAATAATAAACATGTTTTAAATTTAGAACGACCCACAGATAATTTTGCAGTTCTATTTGTTTTCTCTCCCTTTTTCCTTATTAACATTAGGTGAACATTATAGCATCCCTCAAATTTAAGACTGATCAATATGAATATTGGATAAATAAATACAGAAATTGGGCAGTAATTATAATAAGCGTGTTTGAGAGGAGTGTTCAAACATAACTGCAGCTTTTAAATGCACAAGTTATGTCCTAAAAAACACAACAGCTCCTGAACACAATTATTTGACTGCAAATTAGAAGAAAACATTATGCCTGTATTGTTTCCTATTTTTTAATATGAAACATTTTTTACTTAAAATTAAAATTAAGATGTAATAAATGTGAGTTATTTTTATTAAGTCATTGACATTTAAAACATTATTACATCCTTTCGGTTAATTCATATGACTTGAGTTAAATGATTTAAAGAATGTTTATTGATGTTCTTTAAAAAACAGGTTGGAACTTAGGAATCGAGAAAATAGATTTTTGTAAATTAAAATCACAGCCTGTAGGATGAGGCATTTTGTTCAAGGGAGTCAGTGCCTTTTCACTGCTCTATTTAACTACAGACAAGGAAGAAGAACTTCCTGTTGGAGGAAGTTCTTCTCCTCCAAGTTCTTCCTCCAACATGAGAGTGATTGACAGTGCTAACACCCTCCTCCTGGCTCTGATTGGTTGGTTCTAACTGATTTATGTAGTTCTGTAAATGATAGAGCACAGAGAGAAGGCAGAACAAATTTTTTTCACAGATTATCTGTTTCAAGCTGTCACCACAGGGTGACAGTTTTAACAAATATGTAAAAAAAAAAAAAAAAAGAAAAAAAGTATTTTTTTTACAAAAGTTGCACACTGCAAGTTTACGTAATTTAACACGTTAAGACTTATTTTATGACTGTGTGTCATGATGTGTGTTGGTTTTGGACCCAAATGCAGCAGACTGAGACTTTGAGTTAATTTTGAATGTTAAATAAAGAAAGAACATACAAAAATTTAGAACAAATACCATGAAGGATGCAGGGAGCCAGAGTAGAACAAAAATAAAAGGAACAACAAGAAGGTAATAGGATTGGACAAGGTTTGATAGGAAGAACCAGCAAGGAGGAACTGAGAATGAGTTTTACATATACTGGGGAGCAGGGGTGCAACCAGGAATCGTGGGCCCCTTGACAAAAAATTTGTTTGGGCCCCCCCTCCCCCGCGCAGCTGCTGTTACAATTTTTTGAGTCTATTTGACCCATAAAAAG